CGGTACCACAAAGAGGGTTAGATATAATATAGGGGACCCTAGGCCATGAGAGGTTTGGGGTCGCTAGGGGGACGGAGAAGGAAAAGAGGTACTTCCTGTGTTTGGCCGCTAGGGCTGAACAGCTGAGTTTCTCTAAAAGCGCAGCCACTGAGCACTCTGGTAAGCCAGTTCCCCCGCAGGCCTCAGTTTCCCATATGGAGAGCTGAGAGACAACCAACTGCATCAGTGATTCTTCCCATTGAGAACCCCACATTCATGAACCCCACACCTCTGATACTCAGGCTCGTTTTCCTCTGCACCCAGGGGCAAGGGCAGCGAGATCTGTGTCATTCTCAACCATCCACAGGCATGGTTGCTCGGGAAGGAGGAAGCTGGAAGGCATCCTGACCTCGCAGTGGTGCCGCTGGGCTTCTGTTCCTGAGAAATTCCTGAGTCTGATGCTCCCCTGATGCAAAATGGCTTTCCTATCAATTGGCCCCAGTGTTGCATCCAGGAGTCACCCTGGTGCAAAGAAGGGGATTTGAGTGTGTTTCTAACTGTCCCCTGAAATGTGCTCTGTGCATGTCCATGAAATGTCCTGCTAACAGGGTGCCCAGTTTACAGCTGAGGGAACCAAGGAATAGGAAGTGCCTTAATTCAAACCACATAGCAAGTAAGTGGCAACAAAAATCCCAAGTCTGGTCTATCTGATATCTGATAATTTGGCATGAAAAAAACAGGTCTGCTGGGTCTAATCCAGGGCTCCAGGTGAGATGTCTACATTAATATATATATATATTTTTCTACACACACACACACACACACACACACATATATAATCTGTAGGTGTAAGGTCAGCTCACAGCAATGTACCATTTGGGCTCTGCCCCCCTAATGGGCTGTGGGGCCTTGGGTTCAGTCACTCAACTCCATGGTATAAAAAGGAGCTAATGATGCCCACCTCCCTGGATGAGCTGAGGAAGAAAGGTGAGAGCAGATAGGTCCTGCCACTTTGGAGGTACAACAGAAGATTCTGTTTCCTTCCTGCTTGTCAGTGTCCTTAGTTCAGAAAGCCAAGTTTGAGACTAGGGAAATCATGTCCAACAATTTGAGGGACGTTTCCTGAGTTCTTACTGAAGACCTGTTCTAAGTATTTTTCACATGAGCTCATGAAATGAGGTAGGTCCTCTAGCTAGCCTCGCCTTGTCAGGAAGGAGGCTGGAGGCCAGAGCAGTCAACCAGCCTGCCAAGATCACACTGCCAATTAGGGACAGGGAGGTTGGCTACTAAGACTGGCTTCTGATCACTGCAATATTCTAGACCCCAGGTATTGACTGTACATGTTGGGGAAGAGCCACGATAATATATGGGTGCCCTGGAATCTTACTTCCATTTTACCATACTTATGAAGTTGGGGAAAAGGAAACACTCACACTGGGGGGTTGGATGGGCAATAGATATTGAGAGGTGAGGAAGAGAGGGATGAAAAGAGACTCTCCTGATTGGTTCGCAAACCCAACAGTCCAACCTATAGAACAAAAGAAATGAACCTGGCAAGTAGAGGGGTAAAATCCTTCTCTGACCAGGGACTCTGGATGGCTGAGGGGTGAGGCCGGGGGGAGGGGAGCATAGTTGTGGGGTCCACATTTTACTTATTGAACAGGTTAGGAGAAAGTTTAACAAGATCAGCTGTTGTTTTCTTTTTTCTTCTTTTAATTTCAAACTAAAGGGACATGGGGAGTGAAGGGGTGGAGCATTTGAGAATGGGAGACAGGGTTCTTGATCCACCTGGTGTGATACAAATGCAAATGAGTATGTCAGAAAGCCCCCCACCTCTGGACTTGAAAGGGAGCCCAGATTGCTGGTCAGGAAAACGGAGGGATGCTGTGCCAGGTTGGTGGGCTGGGTGAGAGGTGACAGTGCTTAGTAGACACCTTCTTTTGGGTGTTGGGGTCAAGTCTGGAAGAGGATTCAACCCTAGCTCCTGCCAGCAAGAGGTTGTGTCATCCAGCACCCACCTTTCCCCTCTCTGTGCCTCTGTCTCCCAGTTTAGCCAAAGAGAACTGGCTTTCTCAGGTTCCCTATGACAGTAGCGGTAAGCACTCTTTCATTCTAAGACCACCCATCCCTGATGGGCTGTGGAGAATCCTCCACTTGAGTGTCTTTTGACTTTGGCTTTGTTTTTAGCCTCCATAAGCCTGTCCCGTGTGTGTGTGTGTGTGTGTGTGTGTGTGTATACGCACGCATGTGTGTGCATGTGTGCACAGTATCAACCTTTTCCCTTTCAGCAAAAGAAAAGGCAAGTTTTCTAAGCTTCAGAAGCAAACTGTTCCTCCTCTCCTTCCCCCTGCCTCTTCTAGCGCCTGTCTGAACCGGTGTCAGTGAAGTTTGAACCGGGGCAGAAATAGCATCCCGGGTGGATCTGGGAGCACAGCCCGCCTACCAGGAGCAGCAAGGCCTGCCTCTGCCAGACGACAGACCCGGTTAACAGCACCGTAAAATTAGACCTTGACGAAACCCAATTGAATCCTGCAGCAAAGAGTGATGTAAGGCAGCCTGGCCTGACAGCCTGAAATAGCAGCGCAGTCCCTGCTGAGCTGCGCCTGCTGTCTCCAGATAGGTGACCAGGGATTCCTGCGAAAGTGGCGACGCCCAGGCAGAGGAAGCCGGCAGAGGTCAGGCAGAGAATGGGCTCCTGAGGTCGCAGCAGGGAAAGACGTGGCTGGCACAGGCATCCCGGCTGCACACCTTGGTCCTGCCTCTCCCAGCCCCAACTTACACGAAGGAAGGAGCTGAAAAAGTGCTTCGGCAAAGAACCTCTGTTTGCTTGCTTTTTAATTCAAGGAGAAGCAGGTTCTTTTTCGTCCAACAGTCTGCACGGAGTGGAGGATACGAGAGAGTGAGTCTTTTCTGGCTCTGGGCCAGGTGTTTACACACCGCCAAATCTGGCTCAGACTCAACTAGGGGAGGGAAAAAAATCCTCCCGAACCTCAGGAGAAAAGCTCCTGGCTTTCTGGTGCTACACGACAGCAGTCTTTTTGCTTTTTGCTTTTTCTTTCTTTCCTCGTCTTCTTTTTTTGTTTTGTTTTGTTTTGAGTGGAATGTTATTTCCACACATAAAATGGACCAGGCATTTTATACAAGCAATAATAACCTAACGTCCCCCATCCAATTAAAGTATTTTACTGCACGATCTTTGTGTGCGAGTGAATGAGAGTGCTCAGCAGAAGGCGTGTGAAGAGAGGCTCCTTGTCTGAATTACAGATATTTATAAAGCCTGAGGAAACCGGGGGGCTCTACGTATACAGATTATTTTAAAAATAAATATATTTAAAAATATTTACTACCTTTTCATTGACAATACCTATATAACCCTGGGCTCTCCTCTCTGGAGGGGAAGGCTTCCAAATCACCGGCATGCCAGTTAAGCACCAGGAATAATCAGATATATATATATATATATATATATATATATATATATATATATATATATATATATATATATATATATATATATATTTTATCACCGGGAACCAGCAGGCTCTGAGCCTGTCATATGTTCCGAAAGAGAGTAAACACAGCACAGCCCTGAATGATCACCATCATCGTTACTATTAGGAATAATTAATGTCTCTCGTCTCCTCTAGATTCTACACCCCCCTCCCTTGCCCCGTGACTAGGGCTTGGGGGCTCAAAACCAATGAGCTCAGTTTCCCTCTCCTTCCTGGGGAAAAAAGAGAGAAAAAAATAGCATATGATGACGTCAGACGTGGGGGAAAGTCACTTTCTGCTCTGGGCAGCGGGAGCGGGAGCGAGGGGGCCTGGAAGGCATATTCTTGGTAGAGCAGCGGAGTTTGGTTCCCCCGAAATGGACGTCATGTAAATAGGGTAGAGTCAGCACCGTGTTTGCGAAAGTCCCCGCCAAGAGAGAAAGCAGCGGGACTGCCGGAAGAGCAAGAGCGCAGAGCTCTCCCTTCTAAGAAAGTGTGTGTAAGGGGGTGGGATCGCAAAACGCCTCCACACGTTCCCTGGCTGCTTTGAAGGGGGAACCCCTTCTCACTTTAAGACGTCCTAGGTTATGGCAAGATTGTTTGTGCAGGAAGGGAATCACCCAGCCAGGAGAGGCAAAAACTTTTCCTTCTTTCCTCCAGCTCTGCCCCCCATCCGCCCCCCAGTTATATGAAAGGGATTGCCACAGATTCATTTAGAGAGGGAAAAATGGATGTTGGAACATTTCTAAGGTTTGCAGCCCTCGCAAAGTGTCCGGTTTCACTATGGGCTTTGCTGTGGAACTGCGAAGGGGAGAGAGAGGGAGGGTGAGGAGGGAGAACTCAAATTCATTACGGGCTCATAAAAGTCCCAAATGAGAAAAGCGCCCCGTTCCTCAGCCGAGGAGGGGGAAGACTGGCGAGGTGCACATTAGCTAGGTCTCGCCCCAGCCCTGCGTGACTCGCAACGTGGGCTTTAAAAGCAAGGACTTGGGATGGTTTGGGGGAGTGCATCCCAGAGGCAGGCGCCAAGCAGAGAGCAACTTTGGGGCACTTGGAGGACTTCTAAGTGTAGACAATCCCAACAACCTGTCTTTGCAGTCTTTTCAGGGTAAGGGGCCAATTGAAGGGGGTTCACCTTCATGAAAAAGTCAAAGAAATCAACTGCCCCCCACCCCGCGCCTCTTTTCACATGCATCGCAATTGGGTCATCCCCCCTCCATCCCGAACAGAGGCAGACGTCTAACCATCCTCAGCACGAGGTTTCCTCAGGGACCTGCGCTTACTGCTGACAAGTCCCAGGAGGCCAGGACCTCTCCAAGCGCTCCTGCCTGGGAAGCTGAGGCGACCCCTACCCAGTGCGCCCATTCCGCAGATGGGGCAAAGTGAGGCTCAGCAATCCCCTGGGTGTCCGGGCGGTCCCAGCACTAACGCACCCGCAAGCCCCCGACCCGCCCGCACCCGCGCTCCCGCACCCGCGCGCCCCTGGGGCCGCGGGGACCGTGCAGAACCCGCCGCGGCGCCCTTGCCTACCTGTGATCACCGCTGGAGACCTCTGGCCCCCCTCCGCTCGCAGCCACACTTGCAGCGTGAACGCGTCCCGGGGCAGCTCCAGGTCGGCCCGGAGGCGCAGCTGCTCGCCTCGCCCGCTGAAATAGAGCGCCCGGCTCGGCGGGCTCGGCTCCTCCGCGGCGCCCCTCG